TCCTGAGAATTCTCTCCTCAGCATGAGGCAACCGTTCCTTTTCCTCCCCCTACGTCTCATGCAGACACATCAGGTGAGCCGCAGACCCTGCTGGCAGGGGGATGCGGACGATGACCTCAGAGCTCGGAATAGGGTCAGACTGGCTTATCCATGCACAGCATCACAGCCAAGGCAGCGTAGTGTGGTCATCACACTCCATTCTACAGATAGGGAAAGAGAGGCTGAAAGAAATTAAAAAGATTCTCCCAAGACTGCTGGTAGTAAACCCATAACTAGTAATGGTGATAGATATCATTAACAACGGGTTTGCAGTTTACAAATCACATCCATGAGACTAACAACAACGTAATAAAGGTAGCGAATAATATTGACCACTTCCTCTGTACCAAACAGCACAACCAAAACGTTTAATGTACGATCCCACCATGCTCCTCACAATGACGTTTATGGGGTAGGTATTTTTAGCCCTGACAGATGAGACTAAGAAATGAAGTAACTTATTCAGAGTCACCCACACTGTATGAAGTGAAGCTTTTAACTCCAGCCCAAGAGGGTTTGGTTGCAAAGACAATGCATTTATTGAATAGTCAATAATCCCAGAAAGTAAATATGCTTATTGAAGTATAAGCAAAGAACAAAGAGTTTTCAGTATGAGTATGTCCCGTGCAATTATCTGGAACATTCTTATACTAAAAGATGATCTGTTCTTGGTCTGAAATTCAAATTAAACTGGGTGCCCTGCCCTTTACCTGGCAACCTGTGCATATGTCAGCATGTGCCAGCTTATGCTGTGGTCCAAATCGTGGCATCTTTAAAGAGCCCGGGTTTAATTCTTGCTCTGATGATACACACCCACCATGGCCTCAGGTGCTCTGCTCAACAGAGCTGCTCAGACGCGGCTCATGAAGCAGCCACACCATGCATGTTGCTGGCCCCCCATCCGAAACGGAAGGACCCCTCTCTGTACATAAGCTTTTTCTGTAAAGGGCCACGTAAAAAATATTCTAGGCTTTGCAGACCATAAGATCTATCATAACAACTCGTTTTTGCTGTGAAAAATCAACCACAGATAATATGTAAAGAATGAGCATGCTTTTTTTCCCATAAAGCTATGTATGGACACTAGACTTTGAATCATATATAATTTTCACATATCATCAACTGTTTTTCTACTGATTTTTTCCTAAAATTTAAAACATAAAAACCATTCTAAGCCAGCAGGCTTCACACCAAAACAGGGGGAAGCTGGTGCTGTCTCTGTGGACAGTGGTGCACAGATCCTTGCTAGACAAGATGAATTTTGATGGCTTTGGTTAAACATGCCTTTATTTCTTTGTGGGGGTTTTTCACCTCCCCTTCCTTTACAGAGCATTTAAAAAAAGGAGAAATATCTGGAATGTGAGAAAATGGGTGGTATCTGCAAGAAGTCCTATAGAAGACCCACAGATACTCCATCCTGCCTGCAGAAAGCGGAGGTGAACACAAACACGGCTGCAGAGCCTCAGCGCCCAGGGCCCCGAGCTGCACAAGCTGCCACCACTGACTTCTGCTTAACAAGAGCACCTTGTGCTCTTACTAAGGATGCTACAGAGCTGTCCTGACCAGGGTCTCCCAGGGCAGGTCACTGAGGGCAGCCAGCTAAGCGTGGTCACCACCAGGTAGCTGGCTGACTTTGGGCAAAGCTTTTCCTTCTCTGGGTCTGCTTCTGCTATGTAACTACTCGAACGGTTCTCCACCTGTGAGCTGTTCATTTTTTATGTTAACTAGCCGAATCACAATGTGAAAATTCAATGCCGTGTGAGAAGAAACTAGTCCTACAGAGAGCAGCTATCGAGCGCCAGAACACCACTGAAGGGTGGTCCCAGACACGACAAGCCACACAAACAAAATTTGTGTCTGGCATTCCCACCTCTCTGCTCTCTTCACCCAAAAAGTTGCAGACGCCCCCCTGGGGTCCCTTCCTTTCCCCACTCTCCCCTCTGCGGTGGGCTCTGCTGTTACCAAGCCCATCCTCTGGGCTTAACCAAGAAGAAAAGGAAGAACAGGGCAAGAGGCACAGGGCGAGGGTTCCAGAGAGTTTGGAGAGAGACGTCAGAGGCTGTGAGTGGTGGGAGGACTCGGGAAAGCAAAGAGGCTTTGACTTTTTGGTGAAGAAACACAAAGTAGGAAATGAGTTACTCTAAAAATACTCACGGGCTCCTGGTGGCTGCAGACCATTATGACAGGTGCACTGAAAACTAGCCTCACAGGGACCAGGAATACACAAAACCCCACGACGGTCCCTGTGGGGAGAATGTCCAGGAGCCAACGCGGAGAGGACAACGGGAGGAGCTAACATTCGGGTCTGCGTCTGGACGTCTTCACAAACGCCGCTCTTGCTGGGTGCCTTGTACTTCACCCGCCTCCTCCCTCCCCCCAGGTCTGCTGGAAATTGCAGGAAGCCACGGTGATCCCTAGGCTCCCTCCCTCACCATAGGCAGGACAGTGACACTCCTGGGGCAGAGCCAACGTACTCAGGATGCTAGAGCAGGTGTCATGACCTGAACAGGAAAAGTGAGCAAGGAAAAGACAAAGCAATCACCCCCCTCCTGGGACTCCAGTCTTGTCTTATGCTCTCCATCGAAACTCCTTCTGGGAGCCTCTCTGGGCACGTGTTGGGTCCTGCACGTCCCCCACACCACAGCGCCCCTTGGCTGTGGTCCCCATGGCATCTGCTTTAGCACCGTGCCCCCTGTGCCTGCAGCCCCAGGACTCAGCCCTGTCCTCACACACCTCACCCCACCGGAGTGGAGTCTGTCCTCTCCAGCCTCCTGAGATTGTTAATCACAGAAACCATCACCTCCCTCCATGCGGACAGAGATGGCGGTGCAGCCAAGAGGAGAGTCTCAGATCACGTGCTTCTTGTACTGACTGTGTCATTGTGAGCCAATCACTTAACAGAGCCGAGTCTGGTTTTGACATCTGTGAAATGGGATTGGTAAACCAAAATGGTTTGAGGATTACCTACACTATACGAATGAAAATGCTTTGCAAAATTTAAAGCATAATATACATTTAATTCTTATCATTGTCTCCCACCTGCTGACTATCCCTTCACAGAAGACCACTGTTCCCTTAATGAGCCCTAATGAGTGAGTCGCATGTGCCTTCATCCGGACCAGGGGGCCGTGCTTCCAAGCCTGGCCAGGGCCCTGCCTCCAGCAGCCCCTATTTTGCAGCAAATGGTGAAAGCACAGCAGGGTCCTCTAAGGGCATACAGTTCAGTGTCCCCCACTTCAGGCAGATTCCACCCCAAAGGTGGCATGGTCTGTCAAAATTCAGTGTCCTAGCACTGTCTGCAGAATGAAAAGATGTTTGTATGAAGCTGATCCAAGGGGGGAGCTTCAGATCTATCTCCCCATCCTGTCGTAACCCATGCTCCCAGCCTAACGCCGACAGCCAGCAGTCCGACCCCAAGAGCTCCCCTCTCCTAGTGCTACAAGGAGTTGTTGTTGGTGACACCACTGCTGGCCGGGTGTCCTTCCTGCCGTGGGAACCCCCGGGCATGGCCCAGAGAGTCAGTGTGCTGCTCAGACAGTGACCACCACCCAGCGCACCTCACTAGTCAGCCACCTGCAGGCCAACACCATCCTGACTTAGAACCACCAGGCGGAAGCCCTGCTCTGCTAAGCTTGAGGTCTCTGGCAAGAGGTCTCTGGGCAGGGCCCACACGAAGGATCTTTGTCCCCAGCGGGTGATACTAACTGGCTGATTCAACAGACTTGGCATTTCAAAGGGATTTTTAACTTTCCAGTAAGTTGCCTTGGGGTGAGGAGATGACCTCTTAGTACCCCCTTTGCTTTCCTGTCCAGCTACACAGTTATCTTGGGGAAGGAAAAGCAAAACAATGACAAGGAAGGGCATGCACTTGGTATTTACCGGGCAGTACCTGGGAGATGGCAAAGAGGGCTGTGAGGAGGACGCGGAGCCGCCTCACGGAGCTAAAGACCTGAAGTCAGAACGGAGACGACAAGGTCAGAGCCCGGGGTCCTCTGCCAGGACTCGGCACAGCCCAGGACTTGGGGTGGAGATGACTTCTCGCTGCTCGAGGCCTTGGTGGCCCGTCGGCAGGGCGGCCGGGACAGCACTGCCCGCTCTTTGAGCCCCAACTGCACCTGGCCTGCTCTCTCCCATGGCTGAGCAGAAGCTCCTGCACGACCTGCAGAGACGGTGTCAACGTGGACCAGAGACTGGAGCCTCCGAAGCGCGTGGTAGGGCCGAGAGCCTGCTGTGACAGGAGGTCAGGACGAGGGTCCCTCACCAGCAAGGAAGGTCATGACAAATGATTTTGAGGCAAGCTGACTGCATTTTCCAGGGCTTACAAGGGGGGTCAGCATGGGGCTGGGCTGGGGATGACATTCCTAGAGAATCTACGTTATCACAGAGAGGGCTCATACTGATCAAAAATCAGTGGGAAAATATACCCAATTATTCCCAGGATTTGAATTTTATCACTTACTTTCATTTAAATCTATTATTTTTCTGATTATAAAAAACAAATACATACACATTAGAAAATCCCAAATAATAGAGAAATGTAAAAAACAGAAGGTAAAAACCACCCCAGAGCCCCACTATTCAATTATAACCACTATTTACAAGTCACAGTATTTCAATTCTTCTCCTTTGTAACTAAAATCATGTGAATATTTATTTTAAATTTAAAATATAGACTCCTACCTCATAATTAGCTCCATTATAGTTCTTTTTCCAGTTAAATATTATCTTTGAATTCTTTAATGTCTGTTCAAATATATTTGCTTCATATATTTGTATGACTATACATATATCTTTGGAAGTATATGTAACTCTTATGTCTGTATAAGTTCCTAGAGATGGAATGTCAACATATATGCATATTTCAAGTTTTAATGGGCATTGCCCAAATGCCCACTCCAGGAACTGTTCTACCATTCGATCCTCTTACTGACAATGTACCAAAGTATCTGTCCACCCTTGATATTCTGATCAGTACTGGTTATTACCAATTATTTTAACCTTTTGCAAATCATATGAAGGAATAATAGTATTTCCTATTTGCTTTAATATATCTTTTTAAATTTATTTCTAAGGTTGAGCATCTTTAAAATGTTTCCCAGGTATTTTGTCTCATTAGCTCTGCATGCACCTTACCCATTTTTCTGTCTTTGGATTCATCTTTTCTTACTGATTTCTAAGCACTCCATGCCTGTTTAAGGTCATCTGTCCTTTATCAGATGTGTTGCTGAAACTATTTCTGGCTTCCTTTCTGCTTTTGCTCATCCGATAGCTGAAATTCACGGATACCATTAACGATTATCTTTTACTCTGCTCATGTTTGGTTCTCCTGAATGATACTCAGTTAGTTTATGTGGTTACCTAACTATGTCAGTAATCCCAGCCAAGCTTGCCCTTAATTCTTTCAGCCCCAGATGGTGACTGTCCTGAAAATCTGTGACAGACTTGAGCTCCCAGAAGGGACACGAACACGGTTTCTCGCCCTACCCAGAAATAGGAATTTCCTGAGCCCACAGACACACTGTCCTTCTCTAATCCTGTGCCATCTCATAGAAGAGGCGCATGTCTGCGTTCTCTGTTCTCTTAGAAAACCGAGTCTTACACAGAAGAGAATGAATTCCCACATGTGACTGGGAGGAAATGAAGATGATCAGGCCCACAGTGATGGGTCGGGTAAAACAGGACATCCCGAGAGGACGTCTTGCATACTAGTCAGAGCATCTCAGTCCAACCTTGGCAGGTTTATCAAATGCCTGGATGGTCCCAGGCCCAGAGTGGCTTCTACTCGGCTGCTCTCGTGCACCAGTGCCATGAGGTGCCAGCCGGCACAGCTGCTCACCACCATGGTCCAATCTCCCTGGTCACCTTTCCAGAATTCACAGCTGCTCCCAGGGGTTGCCTCGTACACAGTAACTTTTAAATTACTTAATTAAGTTAAAAATAATTGTATTGCATTGTGAACTGATACTGCATTGAAATGACAGGTTTTATTCAGAAAAAAATGACATGTGGGCGACTGAGTCTTTCTAAGAGCAACATTTTACTCTGTGAGTTTTTCTCTTTTCTCAATAGAACCTTTTTGTGTCCTTTAAAAAGTTCTTCACATAAATCCAGAATATCTTTTGTAACTTGACTCCTAGATATTTCATGATCTCCCTTCCTATGTGAGTCACATTTTTCTCTCATGCTGTTTTAGAATCAGCTACTATTTGCATAGAGCAAGCTATTGATTTTTATAACAGTTTGCCTTACGGGTTTGCATTTTTTGTGGTTACTTCTCAGTGGTTTTTCAAATAAAATTGTAAATCTGTAATAATTACCAGATAACCTCCTTGATCCTGATGCATAGGCCTGCTATTTTCTCCTCTCACTGAATTGCACTGACTACTGATGGATCATCTAATCCAACCCACGCACTTTGCAGAGGAAGACGCTGTGGCCGAACAAGACAGGTCAGAACGAAGTCCCAGGCACCTCCAAGAGGTGTCCCTTGCTGAGTTCCTCTCTCAGTTCCCATGACGCAAAAGTTGCCTTATTTCTACCCACTTTCCCCTTTTCTTCTTTCTTTTTTCTTATTCGTCCCTTCTCATAAACATTAACTTTCTTAATACCCAAAAGCCAAACAAGACTTTTCAAAAATGCCTAAGTTTTTCTCCAAAAAAAAAAAAAAAAGTTTACAGAAAATAGATGCTTCAGTAGTTCATGACATGTGATCTCTCCCATAAAAAAACCTTTGATTTTTCTTCCAGGACTTGGTTAAGAATTTCTGTTCATGCATTAAGTACAGATTGTAGTTACAGCCCAGATGCCCAGGGAATCCAAATGAGTCTGTATCCAGGGAAGGAACAGAGAGAACTTCAATGACACAAAAACTTGATGCCTCTGTGACTGTTGGCCTGGAACCTACCATGCTTTTAAGGTCCAAAATTTAGATGATTTACCTCATGACAGGATTTCTGTATGACAAGTCAGAGCCAGAGGAAATTTACTTTGGATCTAAGAATTTGGGGTACTGCTGTTTATCAGCCCTGAGAGAAATCTTTGCAGGATGTAGGGAAGGTGAGAAAAATTGTCAAGTGTAAGGATGGTTGACATTCTTAAGGAAAGAAAACAGAAATGAAGGGAGGGACGGAAGCAGGGAGAGAGAAGGAGAGAGAGAGATCACGTGAATGTCTCACACAATTGCCCTTGTGTTTTGGGGCCTTAAAAGTTGGGTCGGTCTTTGCCTGCGAGGCAGCCCCACAAAAATGGCCACGCGATGGCCCAGCTCAGCGCTTCTGCTCTCCTCTGTCCAATGAGAAGGCAAAGTACTGGCGGCTCCCCCTGAAGCCCACAGACTGGCGTACTGAGGCCTAAGCTTGCTAACACCATTCTGACTGGACAGTCCTGCTGAACGAGCCCTTCTCGCCAGAAAACTAGGATTCCCTCCTTGCCATCATGAACCAGGCGATGTCCTGCTATCTGGTGACCTACATGCTGGGTCTGTTTATTCTTTTTCTCCACATTGTTGAGGGGGAGAAAGCTAAAGATGATCAGGCCGACGTCGATGTGTCGGATAGAGCAGGGGATCCTGGGGAGGACAGATGGGCTGCTCTGTGTCCTCATCAGGGCACCTCGGTCCTAACCTAGGCAGGTACCCCACCCTGGTCCCAGGCCTGGAGTGGCTTCTACTCGGCTTCTCTCGTGCACCAGTGCCATGAGGTGCCAGCTGGCACAGCTGCTCGCCACCATGGTCCAATCTCCCTGGTCACCGTTCCAGGATTCACAGCTACTCCCAGGGGTTGCCTCGTGAACAGGAACTTTTAAATTACTTAATCAAGTTAAAAATAATTGTATTGCTTTGTGAACTGATACTGCATTGAAATGACAGGTTTATCTCAGAAAAAAATGACATACAGACGATTGAGTCTTTCAATCGTATGAACCAGACAGAGTTGCTTTAGCCTAAAAATAGGAAACACTCTTCAGAAGCCACAGAGACGTGGAGTGCACCTCTCTTCTCTGTGCCACCTTCCCCTGCCTTCCATGCTGCCCTGGAGCATCCCCTTCTCTGCTCGGAAGCCTCAGGACACTGCCATCACATGGGGATCTGAGTCCCTCAGACTGGCTGTCAGTCTGGAGAGCACGCCGCCGTGCCAACGTCTCATTCCAGTGAGAACCCGGGGCATCCTTTCAGGCTCCCAATGTTCTACTGTAGGTCAATTTAAATGAGACATGTCATCTCCCATGTGTAATCGGTGGCTTGTGGTCTGCAGTGCAGCTATAACTCTGAAGGTGAGCAGCAACATGCCCAGGGCTGCAGGCTGGGCACCAGCCCCCACCGTGTGCTCAGCAATTTAGGTGCCATTTCACTGCATCCTCCCAACAATCGTGAGAGGCAGGTCCCAGGTTGTGAGGATGACTGTTCGACGGATGAGGTGATGTGGCCACACGGAGGCCACACAGGAGCTGAGGTCACATGGCTGTCAAACCTATGCCCCCAGCCACCATCAGAATCCCAGCATGCAGCCTACGCCCCTCCACAGGAATGGCTCCAGCTGCCTCAAGGTTACGACGCAGAAAAACAAGTGGGTTAAGGTTTTGGGTACCAGCTTCTGATTGGGGCTCTGCCTCTGACTTACAAGGCCCAACACTTTGAGCCTCAGGTCCCTCATTGGCCTAGTGCTGGTGCTGGGTGAGAGGACATCCCGAAGTCCCCTCCTCGGATCCGCAACACGTGGGACCTGGCAGTGAAGTGTGAGAATGAAACGCGCACCTCAGCTGATGGGCCTCGGCCCGAGAGCAGAGGAGCCCCTAGTGCTGAGCAGACAGCCTGGCCCTGGGCCCACCCAGCCTGCGTGCTGCCCGGCGCTCGCTCACCCCCTCGCCCGTCTTCATCCTCGAGCAGCTGCTCCTGGAGGTGCTGCCTGTGGCCCGACTGTGTTCCAATCACACTGGCGCTAGGGATCCAGAGGGACCACCGAGTGGGCCCATTCCAGGTGAGCAGCTCCTAGCGGCAACCCAAGGGCTGGGGACAGGCTCCCATTGGCATGTGTGACTGTGCTTCCCCTGAGCAAGGCTTGGCTAAGGAGCATGAGCATAAGTTCTAGGAGACAGGAGGTGCCAAGATGCTGGACTCCTCAGCACTGTCCCTGCTTCCCTGCCAGGCCACGGGGATGTTAACCTTCCCCACTGAGGGCCACGCAGGCCCTTGCAGAGCATGTTCCACATGGGGGAACTGAGACCGTGGGAGCTAGAAGACATGGAAAAGACGAGGGCGAGGGAAAACAAACTTCATCAGGGCTAAGATTGTGGACAAATGGAAGATTGTGAGCTCTCTGTGCAGCATATCGAAAGGAAACAGTGCAACATTCTAGCAATAAAAAGAAATTAGGTCAGTCTAGGGGAGACAGACTCGCCAGCAAGCACTACAGTGTACCTGGATGGGTGCTCTAGCCATGGAGGGGGCAGAGGTGAAGGGCAGAGGCCATGGCGGTGGGTGGTTCTGCTGAGAAGAGGGGACAGGGCGGCGCCGTCAGCACCTCGGACAGCACACAGTGGAAGAGAGTGGGCCGAAAAGGCTTGGGTGGGAAAACCACAAAAGCCATTTGGGAATAGTATTAAAACGTTCTCATTAAACGAAATATCACACTATTCCTTAATGTCACAGTACTACCTTCTTTTTTACCTTTTTTTCTGATTCTGGGGCCTTCCCAATGAGGAGTATCACCATCAAGCCAAGTCTGCACTGACCAAGAGGGCACCAATGGGAGCCGGAGAGCCTGGGTCATGCCTCCAGAGACACCACCTGCCTCTGGACCCCTGGGCAAGAGACTGTGCACTTCTGGACCTTAGCTTCCCATCCAGAGAATAAGAAGGCTAGATTTGGATGATTTCCCAAATCCCTCCAACTCCGTGATGCTACAGCGTCTGTGCCCATCGTTTGCACGGGGTGGGAGAGGCACGAACAGTTTGCTCTCAGCCAAAACTGCCTCCCACAGGAAGGAAGAGACAAATTATCTGCTTCTAGGGAATTGTGGGGTCCCTCCTGCTTAACATGAGGAAGAATATTTAAAATGTGGACTTATTTGCTTTATGTTGGTGGTGGGGCACTGATCTCACATTCTTGGAATTTCTGGACATATTGATGGGGACAGGTAAGCACCTGAGTAAGAGGAATTGTATAAAGATAGGAAATTGGTCAGACTGGTCATTTTAGGTCTCTCCTGGTTCTCAGTTTCTATCACTCTCCTTGCCCCGTTTCCAAGGACACAGTATGCTTTAGCCAGCAACTTTCAGCAAGAAAACCATTTTCCCTTCTCCTACAATTTACCAGTTACTTAGCGAGAACCATGGTACAAAATGAACAAAGTAGGATCTCAAAAAGTGAGGGGCCTTCAGCTTGATCACATCACTGGGCACTGAAACAGCTCATCCATCAAGATATCTCCAAGTACGGAGCAGTTTTGGTGTTTCTACGCTATGCAGGGAGGGTAGGATCAGATCTCGATGCTTGAATTTGTCGTATAAGCAAAGAGAAGATGTGGAAGGATTTTAACAAGGGAATGACGTTGTCAAATTTGCAATCCAGAAACGACTTGGGAGCAGCACGTAGGATGGATCTGGAAGCCCTGGTGAAGAACAGCTATAAACCAGAGACTTCCAGTTTTACAGTGGGAAAGTAAAGATGGAGGTTCTCCCCTTGTCCTCTCAGGAACTCCCCAAAAGCACAGCAGAAAATAAGAAATAAAAATGTAAACTCTATTATCTACAAACTGGTAGGTACCTATCACTCCAAAATACAATCAATAACAAAATAATAAATTATTATAATGAAATAACAAATATTAATACAATGTTATAGATATCAAAGTAATGATGAAATGTCATCCTATGCAGAGGTGTGGCAGTGCAGGACGGAGGACAAGACCGGCTGTCTGCGAACGCAGGTCTCCAGAGCACAGCTCTGAAGAAATCACCTGCGCGCCCCGCGAGACACACCGACAATGCCTGGCGTGAAGCGGTGAGGTCAGGTGAGAGCGGGCATCACAAGACTCCTTGAACCGAGACGGGCACCCGATACCAAGGAAGAGGGGGCACAAGCGGAGCTAGCAGCCGGTCACACAGGGTCTGCGGCTGTAGGAAGTAGCCTGGTTCTGAGGAGGAATATGGTGCATGCTGTGGCCTTCTTGTGGGTGTGCATGAAAAGAATGCATTCATATCGACACCCCTGCATCACAGGAGAATTCCGAGGAGCCCGGAGCCCACCTGTCTACCCTCTACAAAGGTCTCTTAAAAACAGTCGAGAAATACTTCACTTGGACAAAGATGAGTCGTCATCAGACAGACCAAACGAATCTCTCCAATGGCGCTACTGAAAACAATTTAGAAAGTGAGGTAACAGGAGGACCGACAGTTGAATACAAGCCCCTCCCCCACTGAAAATCTGGCCGTCAACTGGATTCGAATCCCGACCTAAGAGAGCCCTGTAACTGACGAAAACACGGATGGTGAAGACGGTGAAGCAATTAGTTTGAAACAGAGATGAAACACAAATTAGAGACACAATAACTCAGAAAATATATTTTCAGATTTTAAAAAAAGGAAAAGAGACCTGACCTTATAGAACCATGGTAGGAAGTGAAAGAAGAAAATACAGAACTGAAGGGGAGTTGGGGGGGCACACGAGCGCGACTGCACGTCTCTGCAAATATGTAGCTGGATGGAGGGTCAGGAGCTTTTTTTCCACATTCAGAGATGGAGAAACTCAACAACATTTTAAAAGTCGAATTTTCCTATTTTTATATCTATTTATCTACCTCAATAAAGGAAACCAACAGATTTTTGTGAAGTAGAAAAATGGATTCAGGCAGAGTAAATGCAAACCCCTCAGACTTGTATGAGGACTCTCCGCCTCATGCTCAGCTTCCTTGGGGCCCCCCCACCCTGGGCCTGGGCACCCTCTGTCTGGAATGCTCTTCCCAGAGGTGTGCGTGGCCTGCTTCCTCCACCCCGGACCCCTTACCTTGGCTCACCATTTCTCCACTGCGTTTAATATCTTAGGAACTATTCATATTCATCTGCTAGGGCTGCCCTAACAAAACACCACAGACTGGGGGCGCTTGCACAGCAGGAATCTATTTCTCACAATTCTGTAAGTCAGAAATCCAAGATCAAGGAGTCATGGGGTTGGCTTCTCAGGGGCCTCTCTTTGCATCTTGCTGGGGCCACTGTCTCCTGGTGTCCCCATGGGATCTGTCATCTGTGTGCACAGATTCCGTCGTGTGTCCAGAGTTCCTCTTGTTGAAAAGACACTGGATCGGGGCCCACTCGACTAGCTTCATTTTACCGTGATCACCTCCCGAAAGGCTCATCTCCAAATACAGGTCTAGGACTTCAACCTCTGAATTCTGGGGGTCACTTTTCAGCCCCTAACTATTTTATAATTTCCTCATCTATTTTCTTTTTTTATTCCTTTCTCTCTGGCAGACACTGGATGTAAGCTCTGTCCTGGAAGGGATTTTTGTCTTGTTATCTGCTGTCTCCCCAGTGCCTAGAACGGTGTTTGGAATATAGAATAAACTAGAAGCACAATAAATGCTTGTTGAAAGAATAGATTATTACTTTTTGCCTAACCTATCCACAGGGTTACCTAATGGTTAGATTTAAATTTATTGTTTTCACATTTATTTCCATTGCAATGAAAAATATCCTCTAAACATGATTTTTAAAAGCCTCAAATGCAAAAACATGAGGCTCAAAGTCATGTCATGCTTGCTGCCAAACCAGCCCTCAATGACTCTCAGCTCTTTTCTACTGTCTTGAAGTGTGAGCCTTTCTTCACACTTGCCAGTACATCTTTGGAAATTGCAGGCTTGGCCTGATCAGCAGTGGGGGACCAGGCTTCTGCTGCCCCCTCTTAGGAAATTCAAATACTGACTTTCTGGATTCTGAAGTCCTCTGAATTCTCCAAGGCCTTGTGGAGCTGGGAAGACCACAATACTTTGTACAGGTAAATCTGGCTTTTGCTAGGCCTGCCACTGTCAATGGGTGCCAGATATTAAATTTGCTGGGGACCTTCACCCTCCACTATATCAGAACAAACCAGTCCCTCTGGTGCAATGGAGAATTCTCTCTGTAAATGCTGGTGCCGTGTGGGAGCACCACCTGGAGAAGCAGGGAGTCAGCCCCTGGGAGGCAGATGTGTAAGAGACGGCACCGTATCGCTGCTCTCAGCTCTCCAGGCTGGTGAGGATTCATTTGTTCTGGCAGCCCTGCTAATCAGTGCGGCTGCCACCACTCAGGGCTCCCCGCCCATCAGCACAGGGCACTGGCTCTGGCTTTAGACAAGAGCAAATCCCTGGGCAAGAGTCTCTACTCCAGCAGTCTGTGCGGTGTGAAGGGTGCTGTTTGGAGAGGCCTCCCCCCAGAGGTCACGAGGCAGGCCACCACCTGTCTTCAATACAATCCTTGCAGGGACTGTAGTGCCCCCCACCGACCAGATGCTTTTCACAAATTCCACAGAGTAAGACAAGCAAGCATTACTTAAGTCTTTCATCCAGACGCTTCCCTAAGCTAACGCACATACTCCTACTTCAAACTCTTCCAAACTGTGGAGTGGTGTGTCACCTGGAACCCCGAGAGGGCAGCCTGCAGAGCAAACTGGGCTGTGGGTGCACGTCATGGGGGCTCAAGACCTTGCTCGGAGGCCCAGCCCTACAGCACCGACCTGTGTGTGAAAATGGCCAGAAAGACACAAACGAGCTGGGTAAAGAATGAAGTAAACAGGAGGACAGAGGTAGGGGGAACTGCCCGTGCCCCCTGGGCTCACATGAAAACTTGCTTGTGGAGACAAAGGCAGATAAGGCACACATCCAAAGAGGAAATGCTCTTTCTGGGTGTTGAGATTGGATCTTGCCCGATCTGGGTGTCGATCAGCAAAGCCTGATTTTGGCAGCAAAGCATGTGGGGGACATTGCCTAAGGCACAGGTCTGCCTCACACATGCCCGATGGGAAAAGCACCCCTTCTCCTTCCCAGGTTCCACACTAGTGCACACACCCACCCCAGATGTTTGCCCACTCTCGGCTCTATGCCAGGGGGACACGCATAATGTGAGCCCAGTGAAGGATTCAGCCCATGGACTCCTGGGTCACAGATTCAAGACAACTCTGGACCACCACAAGCACGGTCTCTTGAGCCTTTGCTCCTCACCCTTGTGAGGAGCGCAAGTCCTGGATCTAATGCCCACCATTAAACCGAAGGTCACAGGGAATTATTATTATTTTTTGAATGACAATAAAAAGCTGTGCAAGTTGAGAGCTCAGAACTTCAATGGGGGACCATATCAGAGCTACCGGAATAAGAGCTGGGGTCCTTGTCCTGCTAGGACCTTATCGTGACCCCACCACCCAGGTTCTGAGTGGAGTCTTGCCAGATGGGAATGGGTCAGAGAGAACAGGCGGTGTGGGGCTTGGTGGAGTTATCCTGTATCCTCGTGGTAAATACACCTGTTGAAACTCTGGTTGAACACTCAAGATCTGTGTTTTTAACTCTGTGAAAATTAGGCTTCAGTTAAAAATTGTCAGATTCTCAAACAGGCACCCCCAAGGATCTCTGGGTGGAAGAGGGTCATATTAACCCAAAGGGACCCAGAATTTTTCAAGGCTGGAAAGGAGTGAGAGAGGAAGCCGCCCCCCAGGGGTAGAGGGCTGGCTAGTTGCTATCCCACCACTAGGTGAGGACAGCACCTGCCCACCCCTGCCGGGTTCTTGCACAGGACATGTTGTTGGACAGGATATTCCATTCTAGGCAGCATGCCAGCGATTCCGGGCGGTTTACCACCATGCCCACTAAAGAGAAGTGATTTGGGAGAAAACAAAGGAATGCAAGTCCCAAAGGAAACAAACTGGCCAAAAGGTGTCCCTACCTAGACCTGACTGTACCCACCCCAACTCTCCCACCAGAACCTGGGATCTGCCCCCATGCCTCTCGGGACAGCCACGTCCTTCAGAGAAGTGCTTCCCAACTGTTACCTGGTGAGAGACTTTGCATGTCAGTGCCAGTCTATCCATTTTTTTAAAAAGATATTTGAACAATGAGTCCTATTTTTATTGTTAGATTAAGCAAACAGAAAATTACATTTTGATGAGTGTAATCGGAACACACAGAACAGAAAAGAACACGGACACCAATGTGTCCATAACAGTCTGTCCTTCCTTGGTTGGGATTACACAAAAATTATGAGTGAAATAGCCATTACCCATAGGAAAGGGCTATGAACCTCTGAACACCGTGTCCCTGCTGAGTTAAAGTCTGCCTTGGCCTGTACACATTAATGTGTTTTATTATGCATGAATGTGCTACAGGCTGGGAATACCATGGCCCTCACCATTTCTAGGCTTTGCTCCAATACCACTGATAAAATAGTCTCACAGGACTGTCAACAGGAATGACAGGGGAAATGTTAAAAACAAACAATGCTTTCAGCAGACTCAGAAAACTTGACTTTTATACAAAACAAAGAAAGGGACTCTATTTGTTAGATGTTGTCTTCAACCCTTCCTCAGTTCCAACAGGCAATGGTTTCATTCGAATTATCTTTCCATGAAATAAATGGCATGTGGGGCTGCCATTTATAAGATCCATTTCCTACACATGGATCTTATTTGAAGGAATTTAAAATGTGGACGCTCTACCTACATCCCAGGCGAGGCACCGACAACTTTCTGCACATTAACTCATGAAATGTGTCATAGCCAACCGCAGAACTCTGTTCTTCCAAGAGTTTCACATGCTCTTTGCCCTTTGTTCCCGTGTCTCCCTTGGCTGAAAGTATTAAGATCATTAAAAACACTGCCCGTACCAGGAAAAGAAGCGGTTCTGGCTGGTCTGTTGCTAGTTTCAAAATCTCGCGACTAAATTTGTTTTTTAACTCACAGAATGTTAAGCAGTCTGTCAGTTAAACACGTTGGATGGAACTTTTCCTCTTGATAACCGTTGAAACTCTCATGCAGAAACAGTTGTTTATGATCATTTTCTAGATGCCAAAATTATATAAAAATAAACATCTCAGACTTGCTACATTAGCCCTTCCATAGCTGCTCTGGAGTGAAACGGTGTACATTTTCCTAAAGGGAAGGGGTGGGGGTGCATTACATTCCTTTGAGATGGGAGACACTGACAGATTTCCGCCCCTTCAGAGGGAAGAGTGTCGCGCCTCAGAGATCTGAAAAGGGGGACTGTGATATTCTCCTCTGAGAAAAAAAAAACAGTTTTTAAGAAAAATGACATTTTTAACTCTGGAAAGTGATGGCAAGGTGACTTTCTTCTCTGGTCTAATATAAGGACCATGGACCATATACATAAACAAAAAAAATATGCATGACACATTAAAAAAAATGCACGATTCCAAAGCAGATTTCTTCATTAAGTAACCTTTCCTGGAAATTGCCAGGCCCTCGATCTTTCTTTTCTTTGCCTTCTGTAACAGGAAAATCTGAGCCATGACCATCACTCGGCTTTTCCGTCATGCTGCATGAACTCCACCACACACAGTTTGTGTATTTGTGTGTTTGCTGGCTAAGCAAGGGCTTCTAAATCACTCTTACGTTTCTTTGCATGGAAAGACATGCAGTGAGCTTCGCCACTATCTCTTCAGTATATCGAATGCATGGCCCCGTTGGATGTATATGTTTGAAGATCCAGAGAATCAGAACAAGGTCTGTGTTCTTAAACTGTCCCTGCGTTTGCTTTAGTTCAGGTGTGGTGAGACCCGCTGGAAGGAGAGGACTGGCTGGAGGAGGAAGTTCCGCCCACAGGCCCTGAGTCAGGAGGCCCGGCACCAGCCCGAAGGCCGCCGGGCAGGAGGTGGAAGGCGCAGGGCAGAGCATGGGCACGGGAAGGAGCCCGTGGGCAGGGGGGGCACCCTGATGGGTCTGAGATTAGAGACTCTGAATAACTCAGTGGGCTCTGGGCTAAGGGGCCTGGGTTCATTTAGGGAAGGGTGCATGTTGGCTTAATAAAGAAATGACAAGGGAAGTGGGCTCTCAATTGTTTGGAGTGTACATGGCAGGTGTACTCACGGGGGAGACCTTTGCTCTTGGAACTAGGTGGCCCTGGAGGGGCAGCCTCCGCAGGAACAAGGCCCCGAAGGCCAGAGCACCGAGAATGCAGTGACACCCTCTCTGCTCAGATGCCTCCTGTAGGGACGACGAAGCTTCACTGCCTTCCCATCCTTGTCACTTGTTACGTGTAGGGCATAAAATGGGGACTCCAGCCTTCATGGATGGAGTTACTTGTTTTCTCTGTCGCTCACCAGATGTGATGGGGCCCCTGGGAGAGCCAGGACAGTGCCAGGCTCCTGAGATGGGGCAGCCGGGCCCTGCCTCCCATACATGCTTGCAGCGGCCAGCAGAGAGGAGACGGGAGGTGGGTCGGCCGCGAGCAGCAGCCCTGGAAGTCGCGTGGAACTGAATTCTAACAACATGGACTTAAGTTAGGGGTGAGCTGTGCAGAGGGAGTGAGGGGCTGCAGCCAGGCAGGAAGGTGGGCTGGGCAGGGGGCTGAGGCCAGCTCTTCCCATCTGATCCTCTAAAATACTTTCCAC